CTCGAAGGAAATTATATATATATATATATATATATATATATATATATATATATATATATATATATATATTTAGTCTTAAGGTGTGCTATATTTATGGGATAAAGGGCTCAATATCAGAGATAGAGCGTGTGTAAATATAAAAGTGAACATATATAGGAAACAGACTGCCGCCTCTAAGTGTTGACTTCTATGTTCATATTTGTGTGTGTGTATGTGTGTGTCGACTTTGTTGCAATCACGCGCAAATGTCGATGCAGAAGGTGTAAATGCCTCTTTTCTCCCCACCCCAGATTTAAATAGCAGGGTAGACTATGTTCTATAGCCTTGGTTGGTATCCAGTCTACTGCAACGGTTAGCAAACAGTCTACCGCAGAAAGAAATGGCAACCTAGTGCGCGAAAATCTTTAAGCGCACGCTTCCAACATGCCTTGAGCCAGCATGGAAGAGTAGGCGCATAAAATTAACATGCGAATAATATATATTGGCATTTATTTCTCCCACATACAGACGAAAGATGTAACAAAATATTTTTTTTGAATGTGAGTTAGATACAAAAATAGACAGGGTCTTTTTTTTTAATTCCATCACAGTTAGCGTCAATAATTTTAACGTGTGGATGTCCAAAAGTAAAAAGAAAAAATATCCTGGTTTTCTCGTCTCGTTATATAAATAAAAACCTTTACTCTAACGTATAGATGATATGAGTAGTTGTTTATCTCTTGTTTCCTGTTTAGGATTGCGTTTCCGTTTCCTTCTACGGTATTAACATACTTCTTTATTCACAGTAGACCTTAGTGGCATTATGGCCTTCATTGGGGTGAACTGATTCAACAAAATTCAATGAACTAGAGAGACTATTTTCTTTAAAAAACTATCTCAAGAAAAATATTTTATAAATTTCAGTCAATTGTTGCCCTGTTTCTTGGGTCAATGAATAGCACGCAGAGAGGAGGACTGAATGAATAAATTTACTTGCTTATTTTCCGTTACATAAAAAAATTGATCTGATGGGTGTTAAGAAAATACTAAGCACTATATACCGAATTTTGAGTGATTTCAAAATTCTGACAGTATTAATCTTTGCTTCTACTAAATAATTTGTCTGATCTGAAGTCGACATGATAAAGATATATAAAACTAACCTTCCAGAAGATAGATCTCAATGGTTAAACTGTTGTCCAAATTGACACCGAAATTTAACACCATAAGCTAAGATTATTTTTCTGCAAATAAAAGTGTATCAAAATAATTTTTTATTCCATTTTTTTATTCATTAAAATTTCCGTAATTTAAAATTATAGACGTTAGCTATTGGCAGGGGATGAATGAAAAAGACGCATGTGACTAGTTCTCAGGGAATATTGAAGTAGTTTTATGCAAAGTAGGTGGTATTCTAGAGAAGTATCCTTGAAAATAAGTCATTCCGTAAGGAAAGAGAATTAGCACATTTATGACAAGTTTCAGTTATTGTTTGAGGGAGGGGTCATCGTAAAACACTCCTTCCGTAAGGAAAGAGAGCTATCATATTTATGATAAGCCTCAGTTATTGTTTGAGAGAGGGGTCATCGTAAAACATTCCTTCCGTAAGGAAAGGGAGCTATCATATCTATGACAAACCTCATTTATTGTTTGAGGGAGGGGTCTTCGTAAAAATCTCCTTCCGTAAGGAAAGAGAGCTATCATATTTATGATAAGCCTCAGTTATTATTTGAGAGAGGGGTCATCGTAAAAAATTCCTTCCGTAAGGAAAGAGAGCTATCATATCTATGACAAACCTCAGTTATTGTTTGAGGAAGGGGTCTTCGTAAAAATCTCCTTCCGTAAGGAAAGAGAGCTATCATATTTATGATAAGCCTCAGTTATTGTTTGAGAGAGGGGTCATCGTAAAACATTCCTTCCGTAAGGAAAGAGAGCTATCATATCTATGACAAACCCTGCAGTTATTGTTTGAGGGAGGGGTCTTCGTAAAAATCTTCTTCCGTAGGGAAAAGAGAGCCATCATATTTGATAAGCCTCAGTTGGTTGTTTGAGAGAGGGGTCGTCGTAAAACACTCCTTTCGTAAGGAAAGAGAGCTATCATATTTATGATAAGCCTCAGTTATTGTTTGAGAAGGGGGTCATCGTAAAACATTCCTTCCGTAAGGAAAGAGAGCTATCATCTTTATGATAAGCTTCAGTTATTGTTTGAGGGACGGGTCATCGTAAAAGACTCCTTCCGTAAGAAAAGAGTGCTATCATATTTATGACCAGCCTTAGGCTTAAACACTTTTTACTAGTTATTGTTTGCGAGAGGGGGTCACAGGAAAACTCTCCTTCCGTAACGAAAGAGGACTATTGAATTTATGACCCGCCTCAGGCTTAAACACTCTTTAGCAGTTAATTTTTCAGACCGGGGTCCCCGGAAAACACTCGTTTCATACGGAAAGACAGCTATCATATTCATGACCTGCCTCAGGCTTAAACACTTTTTACTGATTACTTTTTGAGAGAGGGATTTCTCAAAAAACACTTCTTGTATGATCTGCCTCAGGCTTAAACAGTTTTTTGGTTGCTGTATGATAAAGCGATCCCCCATAAACCACTCATCCCACAAGAAAATAGGACTATCCTATTTATGGCAGTCTTAATCAGTTAATTACTATCGAGGTTAGTTTTCAAGTCCCAAAAGTAAAAACCAAGATCTCCTATGCTGATTTTCCAAGAAGGCCAAATGCCATTTTTGTCATTTCTCGTTCTGGTACACGAAAACTGAATTAATGATATATCAATGTTGAGATGTATAAAGGTTAGCGTCTCTGAAATAGAAATCAGCGCCCAGAGTTCGAATTCTGACTGAATTCTTTATATTCATTTTCACATATTGATTGATTTGTTTTTTACGGGTTATCAACTCTTTGGGGATTATTTAAAGCCGAAATATATTGTTTAATAATATTTTTTCCTGAATTAGGATAATATTTTTCAGACAGAAATTTTACTATTTCACTCATAGCTGGGTGTGTCAAATATGGATTCATACATTTCCCAAGTATATTTGCGCGTAAGTGAATGCAATGTATCCGATTGGAATTCGAACTCGGCTTTCAGTTTTCTCATTCTGAACCGCTATCCACCTACACATTCTCAATTCCGGAGAAATACATGAGCCAGGGCTGGATTTAGATATTAAGAGGCCCCTGGGCTAATAAAGTTTTGGAGGGTCTTCATTACATATGTTTCCCACCCCAGTATCTATAATATATATATATATATATATATATATATATATATATATTGGTATCTCTCCTTAGTTTTATGCGAGCACGAAGTCACAAGTCATCGTGACTGAGGGTTTGAGCGTGTTGTCCTCGATCAGACGATTGATCACGCTAGATAACGCGCTCTCTCCCAAAAACTTCAACTAAGGTCTGCTCAGAATAGTTGCAGTATAAATCACAGGTGGGATCTACCGGTGTTGAACAAACACAATTGTGTCTGAGCAGGTGTCACCATAGGGATTAGCTAGCTGCCCTAGTAGACTGGCATTCTATCATTCTACTGACCCGCCATTTATATATACATTATATATATATATATATATATATATATATATATATATATATATATAATTTTCAAATGTGTGTGTGTGTGTGTGGATCGATGTTGTTTATGCATTTCCAAAGTTTTCATCCGATTTGATGATTTTTTTTTTCTTTGATAGATAATTATTCAGTGCTGGTTTTGAGTCCAAATTGTTGGCGACTATGGCTCGCCACTACTTCCTGACCATTTTACCTCAGCAGCGTTTTACTATTTATTTGGATATATATGTTTCATAAAAAAATTTAATAAAAAAATAAATAGTTTAAATTATTACAATAATGTTATTTATTATTTTCTAAGGCCGCTCAATTTCAAATTGTTACCTTCCCATCCAATCTGAGGATGTGCCTCGTTGGACCCAATTGTTGTCACTAATATTGATTTTCGGATGGACTTTTATACTGAAATCGACAAAAATCCCAGTAATGAAAAAGACCCGGTCAAAGACGGTTATACTATATATATATATATATATATATATATATATATATATATATATATATATATATATATATATATATATATATATATTGTTAAATGGTGCATTTTGTGAGTAAAAACATGAAACAATTCAACTAAAATTTTAATGGCTTTTGAACTTGTCAATTTATTTAATTAGTAGCTTAATGATATTTTTATCTGGACTTTACATCCGACAGAATTGTGTATAGAAAGAGGCTTATCCAAAACACATTTGGATGACAGAGAAGAAAAATTCTGATTTTCTATAGTCTTACTTCTTTTAGTTTTATCAGGACCCCAAGACTAGATGTTTCTTGAGAGCATTTCTAATCTTGGGAACACTTTGTCCAGGAGCCTATACTAGTCCATCTGTAAATCTGGAACTAATATTAGCCGAAAACATTTTTAGAAAGCTATGAATTTTTCTCCGTAGCATATTAAAATACGTTTATTTATTAAGTTGAACATATTATTTATGCCAGTGGCACCAGAAAAAACATTAAGTAAATTCTATATATTCATCATTATTTTATTCAAAATTCGACTACATTTTCATATAGCCTGACGTGCCTTAAGCGTTAAGGCACGTCAGGCTATATGACGGTTCCATATAGGATACAGGTTCGATTCCTATTGGAGGACGAATATTTTCTATGAAAATTTTTCGGACATTCAGGCCGGTAACTGTTGTTTAATACTGTTTATTATAAACAGACCATTTACTTAAGTATTTGTATCTACAAAAAAAGAAAGTATAAACAAAAATATGACTTTATATATATATATATATATATATATATATACTATGAAAATATTGCACAATCAACAGTTAATTGCAGTCCAGGGTGGTAGAATTTTTGAAGTCGATGGAAAAAAATGACTTATTTTCTCAATCCATGTTATCTTAATTGTTTTATTTCTGTGAATTTATCTTGCAAACATTGTATTTTAGCTTT